CAGAGAACGTGCCGGTCATCAGATTTCGAACCCCTTGCTCGCCAGACTGCCTCGTTCCAACCGCATCATGAATATGCTTGCGGTGGTCAAGGAGGGCGCGGCCAAAGTGATCAACCACCATTTCGGAACAGGATTGCTTCAAAATAAAGACTTTGTAGACACGATTTGCATTATGAGGCGATGCGCGCCTGGCGTTGAGCGGAGCGGAGCCGGAGCAGCGCCGCCCGCGCCTGCGCTGGACAGGTCGGCTGGCTGCGTCAAGCGGGCAGGGTTGGAAGGGCCGCTGGTGATTCCTCTTGCATGCAGCTGCGGCTGCGAAGGTCTTGCGCCGATATCGCTTGGGCGGTGCGGGCCTAGAGCTATTCTCGACGCCGCCCGTGTCCATGCGGTTCTTAGGCAGGACGTTCGATGCCAGGGTTGCGGTAATTACGCTACCGAGGAACCCCACATACTAAATTTAAATCTTATGTGTTTGCTTAAGTTTATAATATATGCGCAATTCTGCGTTCTCAGCCCTCGTCGCGAATGTTCCCCTATGTGTCATCCAGCGCCATATTGCTTGAACCTCCTCCCGCTTCCTAGCCTTCTATCCTCCATCGAAGACAGATTCGAGCCAGCCAGCGGCCGCGGTGAGGGACCACCCCCTGCGCACCCTCTATGGTGTCGAGAAAATGCCACGCGTGCTATGCCCTGGGCGACTGTCGTGCATAGCGGCCGCGGTGAGGGACCACCCCCTGCGCAGCCTCTATGGTGTCGAGAAAATGCCGCGCCTGCTACGCCCTTGACGACCGTCGTGCGTAGCGGCCGCGGTGAGGGACCACCCCCTGCGCACCCCCTATGACGTCGAGAAAGTGCCACGCCTGCTATGCCCTGGACGACCGTCGCGCATAGCGGCCGCGCTGAGGGGCCACCCTCTGCGCACCCCCTGTGGTGTCGAGAAAGTGCCACTCCTGCCGCGATCTGCGAGCGTGTCACGGATAGAGGCCGCGCTGAGGGACCACCCTCTGCGCACCCCCTGTGGTGTCGAGAAAGTGCCACTCCTGCCACGATCTGCGAGCGTGTCACGGATAGAGGCCGCGCTGAGGGACCGCCCTCTGCGCCCCCCCTGTGGTGTCGAGAAAGTGCCACTCCTGCCACGATCTGCGAGCGTGTCACGGATAGAGGCCGCGCTGGAGACCACCCTCTGCGCACTCCATGTGGTGTCGAGAAACTGCCACCATCTGCCTCTGCGACCACCCCCCCTGTGTGTGGAAAGTGCCACTCCTGCCACGATCTGCGAGCGTGTCACGGATAGAGGCCGCGCTGAGGGACCACCCTCTGCGCACCCCCTGTGGTGTCGAGAAAGTGCCACTCCTGCCACGATCTGCGAGCGTGTCACGGATAGAGGCCGCGCTGAGGGGCCACCCTCTGCGCCCCCCTGTGGTGTCGAGAAAGTGCCACTCCTGCCACGATCTGCGAGCGTGTCACGGATAGAGGCCGCGCTGAGGGACCACCCTCTGCGCACCCCCTGTGGTGTCGAGAAAGTGCCACTCCTGCCACGATCTGCGAGCGTGTCACGGATAGAGGCCGCGCTGAGGGACCACCCTCTGCGCACCCCCTGTGGTGTCGAGAAAGTGCCACTCCTGCCACGATCTGCGAGCGTGTCACGGATAGAGGCCGCGCTGAGGGACCACCCTCTGCGCACCCCCTGTGGTGTCGAGAAAGTGCCACTCCTGCCACGATCTGCGAGCGTGTCACGGATAGAGGCCGCGCTGAGGGACCACCCTCTGCGCACCCCCTGTGGTGTCGAGAAAGTGCCACTCCTGCCACGATCTGCGAGCGTGTCACGGATAGAGGCCGCGCTGAGGGACCACCCTCTGCGCACCCCCTGTGGCGTCGAGGAAGTGCCACTCATGCCACGATCTGCGAGCGTGTCACGGATAGAGGCCGCGCTGAGGGACCGCCCTCTGTGCACCCCCTTGTGGTGTCGAGAAAGTGCCACTCCTGCCACGATCTGCGAGCGTGTCACGGATAGAGGCCGCGCTGAGGGACCACCCTCTGCGCACCCCCTGTGGTGTCGAGCCCCTGTGGTGTGGAGAAAGTGCCACTGCCTGTGTTGTCCGTGCTGCGGTGTGCTGTGCTGTGATATGCTGTGCTCTGCTGTGATGTGCTGTGGTGTGCTGTGCTGTGCTGAACTGTGGTGGGCAGCGCTGCGCTGTGCTGTATGCGTGACGAGGAGGAGGTGGAGGAGGGGGGGTGCGTGTGAAAACCAGAGCCCCACGAAACATGTGGGGACAAAAAACCTATTGCAGTGACGAGGACGTTAGACGCCACCTCGAGGCCAAAGGGGCATTCCCTGCTCGCGCCGCTGTCCAGACGAACTCCTGTGCCAGAGGATTTCGCGGAAATGGTAGCGGTCGCAAGAAAATCTGGCACGCCGTTCCTTTCATTGCCACGTTGTATCAGAATTTTCGGCAGACTCGCAACACAGAGTCGGTCCGCGCGGCATGCGTGAGCAGATTGCAAGGGCACGCAATGGGCAGCGCGCACAGGAAACCGCGCGGCGGGGTAACATTGCAATACTGGTTGTCTTTTGTCCCTGCCTCGGCGACATTGCGGGGCCTGGCGCGCGACTTCCACCGGCTGCGGGTAGCGACGCAAGTCTTAGAGCTACGCGAGTGCGTGGCCAAGAGAGCAAGGGTGTATCAGATCGACGGGCATCGCAAGGCTGCTAAACTCGTCAGAGACACCCAGCCTGCTGTGCCGAAGACCGCCGTGCTTCCAATCCTTAGCGAGGTGGGGTGCTTGGTCGGGCCGCCTCTTCGCGTGGTCAACGAACGCCGCGAAGGAGTCGCCCAGGGTTTGACAGAGAACATTGACATCCACATGGAGGCCAATGCCCAATCCCCTGACAGAGGGGCTTTGTTAGCTTCTGTGACGGAGAATTACAGGCACCACAAATACATGCTGGGCGAGCTGCGGTTTCAACGCAGGGGGGCCAGACGACGCGCGCGCGTGCACTTCGTCCCGTTTTTCGCGCTGATTTTTCGAAAACCTCAGATTGTTGAAAAACGAAAATGCGCGAATAATATTTTTGCAAGGGAGTCGAGAGGGGGACCGATGCTGCCTGGTTGGGGTTGCATGAATTCACAAATCGGATGGACATGGGGTCAGAATCGAATGTCTTTTGCATCGGTTCCCGGGGTATCGATAAGTCCGGGCGGGGAAGATGATAGAACCTATGTCCTTCTAGATCACAGGCCGAACCTGAAGTTGTCAACTCCACTGCTCGCGTATTCATCCCACCCACCCACCCGCAACGTGGCTTGCAAAACACACGCGGGAAAGATTGCGATGAGTTCCGGGTGCTGGCTGGTGCATCTCTGCGGCCGCGGTAGCCCGCGCATGCTCGTGCGCGCAGCGGTCGGCTAGTTTGGCGCGATCGACGCGAACGCGGTGGCGCTAACCGCTCGGCACATAGCGGGAATTCCAATGCGAATCGGCGACTTGGGCGGGCGCGGTATCATGGCAACGTCGACAACGGTAGACACGATGATGATAGTAGCGATGCTGGTGACGATGCTGGCAGCGACCACGGGGCAGCCAGTGACGACGCCGATGCTGATCACGCCGACGATGATGACGGCGTCTTCGCGTCGGTGATGAAAATTTTGGAAGGAATTCGAAATGCGCGCGCGGCAGACGCGCCAGAGCGGCTCGCATGGTATTATTTGACACGGATCGTGCCACCCCAGCACACGCGCAAGGGCGTTCGAACGAGTTCGACATGCGCGCGCGAAGCCCGTTTGGAAGCATTTGATGAACATGTTGGAAGACTTATGGTTTTCATAAGAACTCACATTTGCGCGCGCACGCTTTTGTTGAAAATCCGGGTTGCCAAACCATGTTTGTTTTCTCGGGGGGGGGGGCACTCGATTTTGAAATCCGTCCGAAACCGAAAGTTTTTGAAGGATTTCGGCATGCGCGCGCGACGACGCGCGTGTGCGCACTTCGTCTCTCTCTTTTTTTTGCAATGGATTCTTGAAATATTCTGATTCTTGAGAAACGAGTGCGCGCGCGAACCCGCGCGCAGCGCCAGCGGCCTGGGCGGCGGCGGAGGCCGCCTCGGCTGCGGCCGCGGCGGTGGCGAACGTGGCGGCTGCCGCGGCGGCTGTGGCGCTCGCGGCGCCGGCCGCGCCCGCGGCCCCCTCGGCGCCTGTAGCGCCGGCGGCAGCGGCGCAGACGGCGCCGGCGGCGCCCGCAACGCCGGCGGCGCCCGCGGGCGCGGCCGGCGAGCCGCCGCCGTCCCCATCGCCCGCCCGAAGCGCCAATAGGGGCCCGAGGCTTTGCCAGCCAGCTTGAGCCACGGCGGCTTGAACCAGGCTTGAGCCAAAGACTTGCGCCAAAGGCTACGGACCAACACCCACACCCACACCCACATCCACACCCACACACCCACACCCACACCCACACACAACATGCTTATTGATCAACTCGGAGCATCTCGGAATGTGCTGTCTCAGGGGTACGGTCAAGCTGGGTTCTGGACGGTCCGCCCCGCGGGGTGGAATTCAAATGCCACCGCCTGCCACCCCGACAACACGGGGTTCGTCCCGGGAAAGCGCTGGGCCTCTGTTCAGGATCCGCTTCGCAGGTGCGGCCCCCTACGTTCGTTACGAACCTCGATTCACTCGGTCCCTCCCCCCTTCACTTTTTTTTTTTTTGTTGTTTTTTTTCCCCACCGCACCGCACCCATTGAATGAAGGCTCGCCCTCCCCCCTTCACTTGGTACTTTCATCACGTCTGGCGGCATGGGGGGCAGTATAACTGTTGACTGGAAAGCGCCGCCATGTACCCGAACTGATGGCGCTGAGGCGCCACCGCGCCACCCGTCTCGGGACGGCCTCCAGGCTGATGGAGCGCGTCGTTCGTTCGCTCGCTCGTTCGTTCGTTCCCTCTTTCCCCTCTCTCTCGGCCCTCCCCCTCCTCCTTTGCCTGGGTGCCGGGGCGCGGCAAAAGGCCTTGATAACCACTAGCTTGAGCTCTAGGTCCTTGTCGATGCCCACTTCGCTCAGCGTGGCATCCTGATGGGAGGCCCCCATCTTTCTCCGAAGTGGAGGAAGAAAAGAAGGATAATAACAACCAATGAGGAGAGGGAGCGAGGTAAGTGGAGGAGAGCAGGAGGACCAGGGGAAGGCGGGAGCAAAGCGTCGATCCTGAAATGAGGCCAACGCTGCATCGATAACATACTTTTGAAATCCGCCGACCCTGTCGGCTTGTGTGAGACGCTTTCGTCCGCGTGGTCGCCGCCATCCCTCCTGCAGCACTCCACGCCTCCCACTACGCCACATAACGTCGTTGACATGGAGGTGAAGGCGACGCAATCCACTCCAGCCAATACGCCACATAACATCGTTCACATGGAGGTGAAAGCGAAGCCCTTCCCCTGGATCCATTCCCGGGGCGGGGGGGGGGTCCCGAGGAGGGTCCCGGGGGGTGGTCCCGGGGGGTGGTCCCGGGGGGTGGTCCCAGGGGGTGGTCACGCAGGGGGTCCCGGTGGTAATGTGATTGTTTCTTTACTAGGGCCCCCACTCCAACAGCTCCCCCTCCTTCTCCGAGGTGAAGGCGAAGCCCTCCCCTTGGATCCCTTACCGGGCGGAGGGGCGGGGGGGGGGGGTCCCCCCAGGAGGTGGTCCCGGGGGGTGGTCCGGGGGGGTGGTCCTAGGGGGTGGTCCCAGGGGGGGTCCCAGGGGTACTGTGATTGTTTCTTCACTGGGGCCCCCACTCCAACAGCTCCCCCTCCTTCTCCTTATCTCCTTCCCCCCTCGCCCGCCGGCGCTCGGCAAGGCGCGGCGATATGGGTTCGTCGTGGTTGCCGCCGTCGTCGAGGAGCGGGAGGGAGATGAGGAGGAGGAGTAGTCAGGAGGAGGTTGGGGAGGAGGACGAGGAGAAGAAGAAAGAGGAGAGAGGAGGAGGAGGAGGAGGAGGAGGAGGAGGAGGAGGAGGAGGAGGACAAGGAGGAGGAGCATGAGGAAAAGCAACAGCAAAGGTTTCTCCTCCTCCTTTTCCTCCACCCCTCCTCCCCCTCGTCTTCCTTACCTCCTCCTCCTCTTTCTCCTCCTCCTACTGGTCGTCGATGTGCTTCAGGGTGGGGGGCATCGGCCGTCAGGCCCTCTCAATATTAAAACCGTCCCGATTGACAAAATGCATGTGAACAGCAAACTAATGACATCCGATCTTAAACAAAAAAACAAGAAGCGGGAGAAACGGAGCCCCGTTCGCACAGAATATCTCTCTCTCTCTGAATAGAGAGAGTGAGAGGAAGAGTAACATTCATAACCCAAATCGGCTGCACCGAAAGGTATCTTATTTGTTTGTGAAAGAACCGCTGGGTACGACTTCATTCCTCGGGGGGGTCCCTGGGGGCCCTTGGCTTCTTTGGTCTTGGTTCCTTGCTTGGGTTTCTCCGGAATGCCAAGCAATGGCAAGCAACGCTAAGCAGTGCACAGCGATACACAGCAATGGGAAGCTATACCAAGCAATACGTTGCAACGATTCCACGCAGTGCCAAGCAACGCCTGGCGATACCAAACAATACCAAGCCAACGGCACGCAATGCTTAGCAACACCAAGCAACGCCAAGCAATGCCAAGCAATGGCATGCAACGCCAAGCAAAGCAAATCAGCGTCAAGCAATGCCAAGCAACGGTTCCAAGCAATGTGGAGAGCAACGCTAAGCAATGCTGTGCATTGTATTGCTCAGAACTGCTTTGAAAGAAATAATGCCAATTGAGGTCGCGCTGGGTTCGTATTGAATAATTGTGGCGGGAGGAATGGGGAGGGGGGAAAGGACGAGGGGAGGAGGAGGGGAGGGCGAAGTGGAGGAGGGGGAACGAGGAAGGCAAGCGGGAAATGAAGAGAGGAGGGGGAAAGAAATCATCAGAGGGGGCCCTCGTTCTCTCTCCCTTTCTCTCTGGCGGCAAGAGGAGGCCAGGGGAGCCGTTTCCACCCCCTGCCTCCCCCCTCTTGGTTCTCCTAAGGCTGCCGTCGTGAAAATACTGAAACGCCCCTTTTCCCCGCTTCGCCCCTCTCCGTCCTCCTCCTTCCATCTCCCTCCTCCTTTTCCTCCTCCTTATCTCTCCATATCCCTCCTTCTCCTCCTCCTCCTCCTCCGCTGCTAAGAACGAGGGTCACGTGGATGGAAGGCGATTCGTTTTAAAAATAGGGCATTCACCGATACATTTCTCACATGTTATGACTGGGCGTTTGGTGTTTGGTATTTGGTGTTTGGGGGTTGGTGTTTGGTGTTTGGTGTTTGGGGGTTGGGGGTTGGTGGTTGGCGTTTGGTGTTTGGTGTTTGGGGGTTGGTGTTTGGTGTTTGGTTTGTGGTGTTTGGGGAAGGCGGGAAAATCTGTAAGGGGCTCACCCGGATCTGCGTCAGTACACCTGGAGAACGAGCCCTTCTCCCGGAGAACGAACCCTTCTCCCGGAGAAGAACTTTTTCCCGGCCGCCCCCTGCCGACACCCCCGTGCGCACAACTCCGAATGCCGCCTTCTGAAAGAGAGAGGAGAGGGGGGGGAAGCGGGAGGCGCGCCTGCCCCCCTGCGCCTGCGGACCCGCCCCGCCCCCTCTGGTGCTCCCTGCTCCCGTGGCGGGTGGGCGCCTCTGGGAGCTGCCTTTCCCCGAGCAGCAGCTTCTGGTCCTCCTGGCGGGCTGGGACGGCAGAGGGAGCGGGAGGGGAGTGGGGCTCGCCGGGGCGTGCTCGTCGGAACGGCCGCGCCTCTCGTCGCACGGGAACTCTCCTAACTCGCTCACTCCTCCACTCACTCACTCGCAACCTGAGGATATCAGGGTGTCGCTGCCGACCTCTCATCGTCTCCTTCTCCTCTTCTCCTTCCTCCTCTGAGGAGACTGTGGGGGAGGAGAGCAGAAGCAGTAGGAAGACTAGGAGCAGAGGCAGAAGGAGCAGTAGGAGGGGGAGGAGCACCAGGAGGCACCAGCCAACGAGCTGTCCTTGCTCACCCCTATCTCCAGCTCTACCATGGCCTTGACCACCTTGACGGTGTCCATGGGTCGGGCCTGTGCTGCCACGCCGCTGCGGGTCAGCTCCTCCTTCCTTCCTGCACCCCTCCTCTTTATGCATGTGCCAGCGCATGGCAGCGTCTCAGCACTGGCAAGGCGCAGCGAGCTCTTCAGCCGAAGGAAACTCGGCCCAATCCGTTCGAGGAGCCTGGCGCGTCAGGCGCGCCAGCAGCCAGCACGTCAGGCGCCTCTCTTCATGTCTGGACTGGTGATGACTACCTTATGTAATGAACAGTCGCGCGCTCTTGTAAAACGAGGCTAACGACAGATCCATATCAACGCCGACATCCCAGCCCTCTGGGCGTAGGTGGTCTAGAGCTAGCTCCTCTTCCAACCCCCTTTTTCCCCTTCGGGGAGGGATTTACCCCTCCACATACCCCCTCCCCTGGACCTGGAGGGGGGGACCCTGGTGGTTGGGGCGTTCAAAATGGCCCAAGACGGCTCCAAAAACGCATCTGAGAGCCCAAGATGAGCTCCAAGATGGCTCAAGATAGCCTAGGATGCCTCAAGATGGCTCCGAAGATGCTCCAAAAGGCACCAAGACCGCCCCAAGACGCCTCTGAAACCTGCAAGGAGACCTCCGAAAAAGGCCAACATCCTTCAAAACCCAAAGGAAAAAACAATCATGTTTGCATCGTCGCCAGTTCGCTTTCGATAACCTTCCGGGGCTTCAGGATGGCTCCAAGATGGCCCAAGAGGGCCCCAAGAGCCCCAAGACGGCCCCAAGAGCGCTCCAAGAGGTGTCCAGGAGGCTATGTTTGGGGTTCCTGGGGGGCAACGCTAATTAAGGAACCCCTCTTTTATGGCGCCGAGAGCGCTCCCAAGGCTCCCAAGAGCGCCTCAAGAGGGCCCTGAGAGGCGGCCAGGAGGCCCCAAGAGGCTTCCAAGAGCCCCAAGAGACCCCCAAGATGCCCCAAGAGGCTCCCCGAGACGCTCCAAGAGGCCCCCGGGACCGCCAAGAGGCCCCCCAAACGCAAGAGAGGACCAAGGGAGCCTCAAGACGGCCCCAAGAGCGCCCAATAGTGCCCCAAGAGCGCTCCAAGAGGGACCCTTCCGCTGTGTGCTGCCCACTTCCCTGATCGAGGCATATCCTCTGGGCATCGTCTCTGGATGGGTTGGTGGGGTTACTTTTCTGTCGCGGCTGCGGCGAGCGCGCCAGCAGCATCGGCAGAGTCGCTCGGGGCTGGCGGGGTTACTTTTTCCGGTCGCGTCCACCAGCGAAGGCGCTAGCGGAATCAGGAGCGCTACGGGTCACGAAAGCACTCTGGTGGGGTTACTTTCTTTTGATCTGCGGCTCCAAGGACGATTCCAGAGAGTGGGTCGAAACAAGCTTGGGGCAACAAGCGAGATAATTGCCAGCGGGCCACAAGCCAACGCCGGAATGCACATGCGAGGAACAAAATGAACCTCACTAAGCCAATCTAAAACGGCAGCCGACGACGGACAGCGGGGCGTCGCACAGTGGCGCCAGCGCCCGACAGACCGGACGGCGAAGGGCAGGGCACAGCGGGCAGCTGAAACCCTGGCAGAAGCCCGCCCGTGAGTGCAACGAAGGCGAGCAAAACCACGTAAGCCTCACTCACAATCACCTCATGTGCTCGAAGCTTGGCCTTCACAGAACCAGGCGCCAGCGGACTTGACGTGAAGTCGAGTAGAAACAACGCACAAGGGGGGAACGTCACGTGGGCCAGAACGTTACCACCAACCGTCGGCTGTGAACTGCCGGTGGGCGAAAGAATGAGAGCCGCCTGACCGCCTTGCACCGCTGGAGTCCGAATCAAGGAGCCCTCCAGAGGAGGTCGACGTCGCTGGCAAGCTGTTGGCGGGACGCCAGACCGGTGAGCACGCCCCTGCCAGACTGCGCCCCAGGTGCAGGAAGCCGGTGTGCCCGACCTGCCAGCGCCACAATGAGCGCGCCCTATTGCGTGAGAACGAACACGTCGAAAGGTCCGCCACTGCAGTCGTCGTGAATGAAGAGGGGGGGGGGCGCAGCCGATAGCCGCAAATCAATTGAAAACAAAGGAGGAGGGCGAGAGCCAAGTGGCGACGCAGACAGTCGAGGACCCAACAAGGCGTAGGCGGAATGTAGTCAGAGGAAGGCGCCTGCCTGGTGGGGGGGAAACGCCACCAGAGCAAGGTCACCAGTCGTCGGATGTGCAGCGCGTGGAGCGCACGGGGCGGGCCTTAGGCCTGCGGCCCCAGCCATCCAAAGTGAGCGCCCAAGCGGCAGACGGGCCCATGTCCGCGTGAACAAGGCCAAAGTGAACCGTGGGCAGGAATTATTGCAGCCATTACCACACGGACTAAGAACCCACGATGCACCGTGGGAGTCTAGACGCAGTGTTGTGAGAGGTGCACCTCGCCCCCAGGAGGAGACACGAGCGCATTAAGGCCAAGGCCTGTCACTGCGGTGAAACGAGCCCCTGTCGTGAAGGAGCCACCCCGTTGGCGGTGGCCCGTGGGGGCAGCTGTCAGTGTAGTCTCCGGGCGCCAGCGGACTTGACGTGCCGGTGCCGCAATGAGCGCGCCCTATTGCGTGAGAACGAACACGTCGAAGGGCCCGCCATTGTTGTCGTCGCGAAGGAAGAGGGGGGGGGGGGGGGGGGCGCAGCCGATAGCCGCAAATCCGATAGCCGCAAATCAGTTGAATACAAAGGAAGAGGAGGAGGAGGAGGAGGAGGAGGAGGAGGAGGAGGAGGAGGAGGAGAGCCATGCGGCGATGCAGACAGTCGAGGACCCAACATGGCGTAGTCGGAAAAGTAGCCAGCGGAAGGCGCCTGCCTGGTGGGGGGGAAAACGCCACCAGAGCAAGGTCACCAGTCGTCGGATGTGCAACGCGTGGAGCGCATGGGGCGGGCCTAAGGCCTGCGGCCACAGCCATCCAAAGTGAGTGCCCAAGCGGGCGAGACGGGCCCATGTCCGTGTGAACAAGGCCAAAATGAACCGTGGGCAGGAATTATCGCAGCCATTACCACACGGACAAAGAACCCACGATGCACCGTGGGAGGTCTAGACGCAGTGTTGTGAGAGGTGCACCTCGCCCCCAGGAGGTGACGCGAGTGTATTAAGGCCAAGGCCTGTCACTGCGGCGAAACGAGCCCCTGTCGTGAAGGAGCCACCCCGTTGGCGGTGGCCCGTGGGGGCAGCTGTCAGCGCAGTCTTCCGCCCCCACCACATGCGTGCCTGTGTGCAGCAAAGGGGCGATCGAGGACCGTTGGGCTGCCAACCCATAGGCCTCCGTTGGGCGCGGAAGGGCCCCATAGGGCCCACTGCGTCAGCGCGACGGAGACCACGTTGTATAGGGCGGTGGATGCTGTCCCAAGCTGTCCTAGGTCATTGTCGTCCAGAAAGCATGAGTTGCGTTCCGAGACGGGCAGAGTAGCGGCCCTGAGTGTCGCAGCGTGGGGAAAAGTGGCTTGAGCCGCAGACGAGCTTCGTGGGCCGTTCTTGAGAGAGCAGGGGAGGGCAAGAGCAGGGAGAGCGCGCTGGAGCCCTAGCCGACTGCCCCTCGGCGATGGGGCTGCCTTCCTGGGCCTGGGGAAATGGAGGAGACAACGTACCTTTTGGATAGACCAGGCGAGCCCACTTGCGGGCAGAGTCCCGTCCACGCTGTCGTTTGTCAGCATAGTGAGCGTCTCCTCTGGGGGCAGTTCGTTTCTCTTTGATCCTCCAGTCTGCGTCGGCCCACGTGCCCAGCCGGCGGTCCCACCCATCCCAGGACTGCCATGAATCCCATCGGGCGGCTGAACTAGATGCGCCTGTCTGTGTGGCAACTCTGTAGTCGGTGTGCAGCGGGGGGGAACATGTGGCCTCTTTTGGTTTGCTCCATGGGTACCGGCGATCATTTTCACTGGGCCTACCTGAGGCAGCTGCTTGCGTGGCGCCTCTGTCACCAGCGGGTACTGGGGGGGAACCTGGCGCAACATTGCCGCCGTCAGCCCATGGATGCGGGCGACCGCCTCCGCTGGGACCTTCGGGGGTACGGGTTTTGGTGTCGCGTTGTAACTGCTTGCGCTGCTTGTCCATAATGGTTGGGCATTCTACGTGGGGCCGGTGCTCATCGTCCATCTTGTAGGCGTCGAAACCTGTTTGTTCCATGCCTGGAGGAAGTCTTCGCGTTGCTGTGACGAATTCTTCCTGGGGTCGGACTTGATGTTGACCCATGTGCCCCCTTGCTTGTTGCCTGCCTTGCGGGCCCAGGCGGTCCAGATCCCGTTGAAGGCGCCTCCCAGCGTCTTCTGTAGTCTGATGATATTGTCTGGTGCTGGTTCGTCCTTGTTAGTATCTGCTCCGTTGATTGGCTTCAAGTGCATGGGGGGGCCGCCCATGGGGTCATCTGGGCGTGCTGGTGGGAGGGGTGCTGCCTGAGGATCGCGCCCTCGACCTGCGCTGCGGCGCTGCCAGGGTGAGCTAAGTGGCGGGCGGGCTGCGCGGCCAAATGAGGCGTCTTCGGGAATAGAGGGTGGCCGGCGCTCTGACTTGTTTTCAACTAGCCTTAGCTGCCTGCCGTCGCCGACATCGTCCTGGAGTGTACGAGCGCATGCGCAAGCGCACGGCGACCAGGCTGCTGAGTCGACCCTCTGGGGGGGGTGAGACCGCAGGATCGGCGGGCTGTGGGAAGCCTCGCTGTCGCTCGGTTCTGGGACGTCAGCCTCGACTACCTGGTGTGCGGGACTGGCTTGAGCCACGGAGTCAGTCAGTCCTGTCTGGTGGGATTCCCTGAGCCTGGCCCTCTTGTCTCAGATCCCTTGTTGGACTCATCCCAGTCAACTTCATGCTCGCCGCCGCCGCCTCCATACTTGTGTGGGGACGGCACGTCTCCTGCTTCTCCGTCAGACTGTCCTGGTGCGGCAGGTTGCTGGGGGGAAGCGTGGTCGGGGGAGGGGCCTGATGATGCCGCCAGGGGCTTGTTGAGCCAGGCGGCTGTGGGAGTTCCTTTTTCTTCAGCGCCGCTGGTCTTTGCAACTTTGGGCTGGCCGGCGAGGAGCTCTATTGTTCC